TTTCTGAGCAAATATCATGTGGTGCTAAGTTTGCATTTGCGGTGGAGCCCCATTCAATCAGGAGGATCAAAGAAAACATGCGGGACACACTACCAATGTGTAACCCTAGTGTTCTTTTGCATCTGTTGCACTTCAGTTTGTTGCCCGGATATCAAGCATTTTATGTCATGCACTGCTTTTTAATAGGTGACAAGGATAAGTAATTGTGAGATCAAACTATTTCCTGCAGCCTGGAGCTCCTAACAACCGGTGAGAAGTTTAATCCAAGTCCACGGCTTTTTTTAATGATGAATTTTCTCTCAACCTGATAAGATGCCTTACAATTTTGTGGATAACTCAAGAGTCTACATACTTGCAGATAAACCACTGTAAGTTTTCAAGAAATTAATTTATATCTTTACTAGGATTTAATTTTTCTCCAATTTAATTTACATTTCAAGAATTGTTCTGGTTGTGCGATTTATAAACACTAATCGTAAGGCTTACAATACAAGCACTGAGAAGTCAGGTAAAAAATGCGAATCCTACGTTATCCTACTTTTTTCATAAAATTCATTTATTTACATTAGCCAGTAAGCTGTCGGTTTTTGATATAGGTAATGCTTTCAAAATAATACATACTTTTAATTAACTTGATAGAAACAAAAGGTTTGAGTTTGGATCATTAAAAACTACTAAAAATATAGGAACAATTCTAACGATAAGAAGCCGCTTTCAGTGGCTCCCTCCTTTGGTTTGATTATAAAGAGTAACAATCGCATAACTCCACTTAACTAAACTTTTAAGTGCTACTTCAAAAGGAATAATTTTCTTGATTTTATTGGAGCAGATTGAGATACATTTGCCACATCTTAAACAAATTAAAGTAGCTCCTGTGTTTGAGGAGTCACGTGCCCAAACCTGGACTTTTGAGAAGGTTAAATTCACAGTTATAAGTTTAATCAAAATTACTTGCCATGGTTTCATTTTTGCGGTCATATTTCAAACCATGAAAGGGTTTTGCAACACCACGCTTTACATCAGTCGTTTTTAAACAAAAATAATGGAGTTATAAATGGATTAATGTTGATTGGCTGCACACATGAACCAGTTAGGATGAGCAGCCTTTCATCAAAGTAAAGGTATTATTCAACTAAATTGCAAATTTTAGGATGCTTCCTGCAGGGCGTCGGCAAAGTTCTCCTGAATCTCATAAACACATGCCCTATGGACGACAAAAAAACTTATCAACATATGAGTTTCACGAAACTGATAAGGAAATATTTGCACCTGCTCAATATTTACGCGAGTAAGTTAAATTCAGATTTTCTTGTCTAAGGATTGTTTTAGACCCTGTTATTTACCTAAGTCAAAAATACGCTGATTAGCATAGTAAATGAAGGCCACTAAAATGTGTAAACCCATGTCTAGAAATTCACCGTTTCCTCACCAGGTACACATTTTTTTATCGCTGTCTCCTTTGCATTAATGATGATGGTAATAACGTTTGCAGTAGCAAAATCATTATTTTCAGTATAAAACTGGCACCATATCCATTTATGGCCACTGTTTTCATGTATTTGTGATATAAAATGAATAGGCTTAAAGTCCAGATTCATTAATAGAACGCCTCAAAGGCTGGTTATGACTCGCAACATCTTCCCTGTAGATCAGTGAGTTCAACACTAGGTATTATCCATAAAATACATATGAAACAGATCTTTGCTAAATATAGAAACACAATATTCCTTTTTACATCGTAGTGGTCCAGTAAATTGATATATAGAGTAGTAAACCCTTGATTACACATTTTTGTAATGCAGGTGAGAGGCAACATCCTATCATCACAGGTTTACTTTTTTAGCAATTAGGGGTACTATTTACAGAGGAAATACATCCTTATAATTTAGTCTAGAATAATTCAGGTTTGACATAAAGCATCAAAACAGACGCACAACCCTAAGTGCAATCTTCTGTAATAGCGTTGCTTGTCGCAAGATAAGGCATTAAATGGCCACTGTTTCCTCCATAGGTAATTTATGGTAAACTAGGCTAAGGTTAAGTGCTTATTTCAGGAAGGTTTGTAAGAATTTGCTCACCCAAATCCTAATGGTCTTGGATTGACTTGTAGGCATCCAAGGGTTGTATTCACGAACTGTGCTATCAAAGAAAGAAGGTGAGATTCATAATTAGTTCAATGTTCAAAATCTAGGATTTCTCGGGTTAAATATGTCAAATTAAAGATATCTTTAACCATTTGGACAATTTTTTATGCAGAATGTCTGCTGTGTCCTCTTTCCTTCTCCTTTTTGCAATTGTGGAAGGTGTCGTCTCCTTCGTCCTTCCTATTGTTGATGCATTTGGACCACCAAAACACATTCAACACAAATTTTATCTTGAGGTATTAGGACAATCTTTTATGCATTTTATTAAAAAGCTCTTGTATTGTATCGTTTTTGATGTGGTGTAATAGGCGTCTTCCCGCCGGCATGACTCACTAGTGGTCCCGCTTGAGGCTGGAAACAATTGTTACATTTGAAGAGATCATTTTTTTTTCTTGTTTTATTTGGTAAAAACGATTAAATTTAAATTTACTCACCGATTTTTCTTCCTTTATTGCTTAAGATTGATAGAGTATAAGTACATATGTTTTGCTGAAACTAACCACTCATTTCTAGATTATCTGCTAAGGATTCGACATGACTACAGATATCCGACAAATGCCAATCTAAAAAATGAACCTTTGAGAAGTTTTGGAAATTTTTAAAAAGGTGCCTGTTATAAAAGTCCTAACGGTTGTTTGACTTATAGCACTTAAAGGGCATCCACCCCATCCATTTAACTTTTATGCAGTCATTTTCCATAAGGTTTTAAGTAAGGTTTTAGCTTCCTATAACTCTCAGCACTTCTCTATATGTCAACTAATCTCAGCTCGAGACAATATTTTGCATTAGCCAATTAGTGTTTGCTGCACACCCACAGACTTGAAAAACGTCATTTCTCTAATTTCGTTTATGCGGCTTTTGTGGATGTTTTCGAAATAAAAACTGTATGCGTATAGTCAAATAAGTTCGAATTGTGCGATTAGCAATATCGTTAGAGCCTTGTCTCAATACTATTTAAAACCACAAAGGAAGTCTAAGGGCAACTGATTACTTGACAGCACTTCCCAGGCTCCCACAGTAAAGCAGTGTTCAAGCATGTAATGCATTACTTTCTTTAAATACCTCAGTTTATATGCAGCATAGATTTTTGCCAATTTCTAATCACAGTATTACCTGCCGCTAATACTCGCTGTCACATTCTCGCATTTTTATTCTGAACATTACTTCGCAAATGCTGACTTGGCTTTTGGGATTAATACGCAAGGAGGCTAATCCATTTGCTACAGCACACTCTGTGACTAGACTAGTAAGCTCACATTTGTGACTAAATTCTGAGGCATTTTAAGAGACTACTGTTATTGATGCCAATGAAGCAACACCTTAACCCGGACTGAGAGGATAATGCGTAATTATACTTATTTTTTATCTCTTGTAGGTATTCAAATTGCTTCAATTTATGGTTTCAATAGTGGCACTGACATACCTACAAGCTCTCATATTGTATTACAAAAGACAGTTCCAAGACCATGAAATTCACTTGAGAGAACGCAAACCCCTGAATAAAAGTGATTGTAATGTAACTCAAAATGATCATATCAATTACAAACGGGAGGAAAGTCAAGTCGATTTTATCGATGTGGACAATTCTGCAGACGTGTCGGATTCAAGTGAGCATTTAATCGGGAAATTTGGATTGAATTTTATTTTATTTGCAATGCTTCAGAGCGTTTGCTGTAAATCGGATTCCCTTTCTTAAGCTTATTGCTTATATTCTCAAATAACCGTAACTGGTAGCCAACGTATATAGCAAATTATTAGAACGGGTGCATATCATTGTTGTTAAAAATGATGTTTCCGTATTTGTTACACAGTCTTGTATTTGCCGTATACTATATAATATCCTATTTTTAGTCGAGTGCTTTGTAACACTTATAATTATGTTAAACTTGTGTTTTTAAAAGGCAAGAAATTTTGGGTCCTAAAATTCTTGTTTGTAAAATATCAAACATTTGTAAAGTTCCGCAAAGACTTCCTTAAAAACTCTTAGCAAAATTTGTATTTGAAATGAGAGAAAATATCCTTGATAATTGGTTGTAAATATATATTTTAGATGAACAGAATAATCGCTTTAAATGCCAACATAATGAAGAAAGCAGGTGTGAAAATCCCTCAAACACACATGGAGTAAAGCGAGGCTTTCTATCTCAGAAAAAGGAAATTTCTGAGGTATATTTTGTGGTATCCTAAAAATATTGTACTATTTGATGCATCCTTTATAAATCTCAGCAGGGATAGCCAGATGCTTTTCATAAGTGTCTTCAAATATACACACAAATTATCTTTCCTGTTATTTGGTTTTGGTTATCAGATGCTCACTTCTGGCAGACAGTAAGCCTTTAAATGAAAACTGACTTAACTTTACCTATGAAAGTCTTTTAAACTTGTTAACTAAATTTGCTCATTTTTTGCTAAACTTACCATTGTGTCTATAACGGCATTCCAAAAATCCTTGCTTAATTCAATTTTTAATTTTGAAAAAAACTTCTCACTTGACTAACTCAAAAGAATCTAATGGCCATCGCAGCCAAATGTTGTGCAATTTGCCCATTTGTTTTGTTGGGGCAGTTTATTTGTCAAAGATATTCAAGTTTGAAATTTGTGACTTGAGAAGAGTGCATAACTATTACGTGTGATAGTTTAGCAGCATTAAAATTGCGTCGCTTATCTCTTAATTTAAGTCATGCTGCAGTTGCTTAGAGTGTATTGCGATATTTTGGTTGTATTATACTATATTTTGCACTTTATCTGTTAATGCTCTGCTGTTTGCTAAACTTTACTAAGGCCTGGGTCAACGTTGAAAGACATTATGCTTCGAGTGGAATTTTGATTGAAATTTCCAAAGTCAGTCATTATTGTAGATGAATTCCTGCTTTTCTAACTTAATTTGCTTTACCTTGCTGTAAGCAAACTTTAACCAATAAAGGTCTAAATAATGGCGGTTCAATGCAACTTCATGGGGTATTTGCTCATCTGTGCTATACACTGAGTGCGCACACCAGAGTAACTCATTAAGAACTATGGTAAATTTCAAATGGCAAATTGATCTCAAAGATATGAGTCGGGTTTTAGTCAATGGACTACTTATTTCCGTTAAGTATATTTAAAAACAAAAAGAGGCAATTTAAACTTGATCTGGGTTGTGATTTTGTAAGAGAAATCTTAGAATTAATTTAACATTATTTTTTTTCTAATAAATGAAAGCTAAGGTGATACGTCAGAAATCTCATCAAGCAAACCATCGCAGTCATCCTTTTTTATGCCCTTAAATTATTTACGGCCTGTGCTTGCCTCTCAATTGCCTAGGATGGAAAAAGGGCCGAAAGCAGCGAACCCTTACATGATGCAAATAAGTTAGAATTATTGGGATTACTAGTGAAACGCAGAATTCATACCATTGGAAGGATGTTCGGGGACCGCACCACCACGGATAGAAAACGTAATCCACCTCCCATTGAATGTGAGCAAGGAAATAACCTCTACCTCCGACTGGGTGCTGTTGGTAAGTCTTCCTTAGGGCTCAAGAGTTCTTAAGACAGTTGAAATCTCTATGCCTTACTTTTTGATGTGTAAGTACGGAGCAAGGATTTTTGAGTGCAATACCATGCGAGACTATGCAGTGACTGATTGAAACACAGGTTTTAAGATTGTAACAGTTGTGGCAAATTTGCAAGCACCGAATTAGTTTGGTAAATCAAAGTTGATTTGTAAACCTACATTTTGTAATGAATATTCCATGGAACATTTTTACGAAGAATCCTCGATATTGCATGAGTTGTTGTGAGAATGTGTGTGGCTTAGTGTAGACCCACGTGAAATTGGAACATGCTATAAGAAAATGTAGCAAAAGATTCTCATAAGTTAAGCATTGCTACAGATAGTAAAGCTTGTAAGTAGGAAACAGTTAATCAGGTAGTGAGCTGAATATTTTGTTTTGCAGTTTTTGGATTTGGTGTTATGATCATGGATGGATTTCGAGTTGCCGATCAGTTCGATAGCTTGAATGCTGCATTATCTTGTCACAGTGCTTTCTGGATCCCAGTGAATGTCATCCACTCCATTTACATCTTTTGGCAAACCTACTTCCTCTTCAAGCATCATCATGTTGGTTCACTTTGTATTATTTTGTTGCGATAATATCTGCGTATAAATTGTTGATTAATTGTAATGCATTGTACTCGGAAAAGTGCTGCTGTATACAAACTAGCAAATCTGATAAGCTTCCTTGCATGCTTTTAGCTGCTCACTACTAAAAGGAGTTGCCAATTTATAGAAAATAGTCTCTCGCTACAACATTATTTTATGTCCGGCTCACACTCTAATGAAGGGGACAAGTAGGTGTTGTGTAAATAGAATCAGCATCAACTGAAGCGTGAATATGAATACATTTGCATTAAAGCACTCTGCGCTACGCTGCGCTTTGTTAGTGCTTATTTGGCTTATTTACGATTAAAACTACAGAAATACTTTTAAAATTGGTAGTTTCAGCATGCGTAATAGTCATATTATGGAATGATGGATAACATTGTTGGACTAAATATAAACAAAACTGTGAGTATAAATTCGGCAAATACAGTGCTCGTGACATGTAAGGATTCAGATTTAAATAAAACAATTTGTATTTTTATGGTTTTCCAATAGAGAAAATCAAGGTAATTCTAGAATAACTGTATAAAAGTGGGAACTTTTAGTAATCATTGATAACACCGCTTTCTCCGTTTTAATAAGTGGATTCATTTTGCTGAATATAATACAAGTCAGTAAAAACTCCATATCACTTTAGCCATTCGAGATTTTGCTGTGGCAACTAAATGTTCATAGGATGATTTCAGCTGCAAAACTGGGCTTGACTCTTCACGTATAATAAATTTGTTGCCACGCTCGAGGTAGGATTAACTTGTCGCATTCTGCTTCAGTTACAATTTTGCGTTAAAACAATTCTAAAGTGTTTAAGCCATTCTAATTGCTTTTTTAATAGCCAATGTCTGAAATAGGTAAAATACGAAAATGTGCATTATCTGCATCAAAATGTTTGCGTATGTATACCTCATGATCCAAAATGTTACTCTGTTATTCAAAAGGCTTAGTCATTAAACATAAGGGAAAATGGAATGCTTAATGGAGTCTGCCTTCGTTCCGTCTTTTAGCAGATGTACCCAGAATGCTCAATGCATTTGATCATCCTTTCTGTTGGTTAATTTGAGGCCACGCGTTTTGGACACTGCAGTTTGCATGAACGTCTGCAAATGGTTATTTGAGAATGTTTGCTGGTTTATGCTGTTAATCCAAGAAAACGGTGCATTTAGATAGAGAGGTCTTAAACTTTATTGAAAGGAGCCTGTTACAACTTCGCTTTGCTCCAAATTTCCTGTATTACACTCACCGTGTCACTCCCCTTATGTCTGATTGTTGCAAATACCTCTTGAGATACGAAGTCTTTCCCGTGTTTTACTAACACAAGTGTGGCAAATAAGCGCAACATTTTTCAACTGGATATGTTAAGCACATTAATACAATACGCCTTTAATTGCAGGTGGTATTCAATGTGAAAAAGTTCTTTGTTCGCTTTATTCTCGCCCACATGACGGTGGTCAATCTGGGTCAATGGATGGGCACCATCGTGCAGGAGGTGATGATTTCAGACAAAGAGGAAGGAAACACTTCTGCATTGAATGTTTCCGCATTATCAGCCCTTATCGTCTCCAAAAATCTGAATTTGACCACGAACCTTTATGGTAGGTGTTTGTGAGCGTTATCTAGCAAATAAGTGTAGCTGCATTGGAACCGCCTTTCTGCCCGATAGGAATCAAAGGATAAAAGATCGAAAAATGGTACTTCATCTCATTGGTGTGGCCGCTTTGAGCCTAAAGAAATTGTTAAATGATTGGTCAAAGACAGAAAACATCGCAAGTGACTAAGGAAGGATAAGATATTTATAGTTAATTAAAAAATATCAACTCGTGATAATGTTTAATCTAAAATACTTATATTGCTCAAAATGTCTGCATTAAGACCTGGACTCCAATATACTTTCAGGAATAAGACATAACACAGATATCTGGTGTTAAGGAATTTTAACTGATCAGCAGCTGAACTGCTTTTTAATCGCAAATATAGGAGTATTAAAAGACCCGGTAAGCTTGGGTGGATTTCTTTTAGCTAGTTCCAACAGCCTGTCAAAAATGTATGGTAATATGCTTTCGAAGCATGGATGTAGGTGCCTGCATTGGTATGGTGCTCTTTGTTACGCCAATACTTAGAATGCTGCTAGTCAAATCTGATCCCTTTTTAGACAAAGCTCGGTTTAACTTGATAATATACCAAAAGAATCACTTGCTCTTCACCCCACACCTCAATGACATGCACAACTTCCTTCTCAGAAGATCATGTTCAATTTGTGGCGTGTTTGACTTGCTTCGAAAGCAATTGTTTCCAACGAAGTTTTCGTTAGATTACAAGTGACAATCATTTTTAAAATTTACCTATTTATCTTGGTAGAATTCGAGTATAGGCAAATAATTGGTTTTTAGGAACAGCAAAGGGTAATTGGACTGTGAGAAGAATGTCCCATCTTTATCGTTCTAAAATAGCGTAAAATCCCACACTTTGTGCCACAGAACATGCCTGTGAGAAGATCCGCATTTTAGGACTGAAGAGCTCTGCTTTGTTATCCTCTGCTAAACTGTCGCTACCTTTACTCTTCAGGTGTTCATGACCTTTTGTCGGTATATACCAATTGTCTTCTGAGCACGGTAATCAAATTGAAATTCCAAGTATAACTGAAGAGGCAGCATCGGAGTTGGAGGCCTTAAATAGATACCACACCGGTTCCAAATCAGTTTTTAGAAAGAACAATTAATTTTATATGCTAGGTGGAATGGACTTTTTGCAGTAATTTACTCTTTATTCTAGAGAAATAAACTTACAAATATGGTAACTTTATGTATCACACGACGTGATCAAACATTTAAAGTCACTTTTTCTTATTACTGCCACAGTGCAATTATTCATGCTTTTAGTTTGTTCTTCAATGAAAAGCTTTTTAAATTCCTTGGTTATATTGCATGTTTCAAATCTGTTTCATCATTCGTTAATATCACTTATCGGTTATGCACGTACGTATGGCGTCCGTTACTAAAGTTGCGGGTCTTTTGTTTTTATTTTACATTTGCTAAGCTTAGTCCCATAATTATTAGGCTAATACTTAAAAATGAAAGATCTTTATAGTCCTCGGGCTGAGTTCATTCTTTCTGTAGCGATAGGTTTTGTATAAAAAACCGGTTTGTTAGTTTGATGGCAAATTTCTAAGTAGCAATATTACCGATTGAGTTGCCTTTACCCAAACTCATGAAATCGTCGTAAAAATGCTAAAGTTTACATAATTTATAAATTTCAATGGAAATATGTGATCGCTAAAGGTTTTACTTTAGTAAAAATGTAAGAAGTACTGGTTATAAAAATCAGTGCGAAATTTAACAGTTTTCTTAACCGTTATTTTGCATAGTAAGGAACGAGTTCTGTGTAGCCTTTTTCAAACTAAAAGCAAAATACATGCATAATTGTTCCTTTTTCACTTTTGACCTGCAAGTGAAACAGAAGCTGTCAAAATCAAGTTTCATCGATATCAAATTTAAGTCAGTTTTCTTAGACGCATGTGACTTAAGTTTAATTGCTCTGGTTGTTATTACAATCCCCCCTTTTAGCTCAACTTATCTACTATCTACTTAGTGACCAGGACTAGACTAAAATTACCTTCTAGAGAAATGCAGCTTATTTTATGTTTCAGATAACTCTTCTTTAGAAACACCATTTCTGGTGCACTGTTTTCCCTCAAACTGAAAACTGAAGCGCACCTTTGCAAAGTGTGACAGACGTTTTAAAAAATAGTCCCATTTTGCTAGGAAATGGGATTAGGGGGACTTGCCTGGTTATTAATCCGAGTTTTCTTTTGTTTGTTTGCTTAACCTTTGCGGCATTATTTTGTGCGTAAAATAAATTTTAAAATATTAATGATCCGGGGAAAGTTGTGATACTGCCTTAAAATTTGTTTCCAGGGTATTGTTTTATTGACATCTGAATTAAGTTTTACAAAGGCGTTGGATGATTCATAGTGGCTAAAAAATATGTTTAAGCTAAAATGAAAGCCAAACCAACATGCCATCGCTAAAGGATTCGTCCACTTTTTAAATAAATCGGAAAAGCGTGCATACTCTTGTTCACTAAAATGCTGTTTGTATTAAATCATTATTTTTAGAAATAGCAAATTCGAAGCATTCATTAGTTATTGCACATGACCTCATTATATCGAAAAGACAATTTCAGCTGTTGATTGGTCTTTGCCTTGGTGTACTTATCTGCTACATCCTATTATTCGTTAAAATAATACCAGAAATAATAACTTGGATCATAGGTCAGCGTGTATTTTTCAAATTAGCTGGTTTTAATCGATATACTTTTCGTCTTTTAGCTCAATGTAAGTCACAAGTTGGAATTTTCGCCCACTATCTGATTCCCTGTGGAGTGGAGTACAGTTTGATTGCTTGTGCCATCTTTTACAAGATGTTTCGCCGGGTTGGACACATTACCAGGTCTGAAGTCGAGCCTCAATGTGTTATATCTTCAAGTACTGCCGATGAGGGGGCCAGGTCCGCGTATGAATGTTTATTAAGGTATCCAACACTGATAAGTGTGGATTTAGCATCGTCTCATGCTGAAATTGACTAAACTTCAGAAAACGATTACATTCTTGCATTGCTGTTAGCAGTTGGAGTACCAAATTTGTTACAATCAATTTTAAATACCGGCATCTATTTTCTGGAATTTTCTACTCCTAAAATAGAAATTCTGGTATTTGTAGATGCTGCAACAAACACTATTTTGTTATTGTGGGACTGCACCATTCCGGTGGTTGCGTCAGTTTCAAGTGCAACTGGTATGCGCACCTTTGGCCTTTTGTAAAAAATGCTAGACACTGGGCTTAAACCAGAGAGTAGTGTAACGTTGTACAATAATGAAATAGAAATGGCTACCCCTTGTTATGCGGCTAAAGCGTATTCCATGCTTCTAAAGGACAATCATTGGAACTTGACTTGCTGTAGTGCTAAATTTGCATTTCAGCTATCCCCTAAATTTAAACTGCATCTTGTTTTGCTCTACAGACCAGTCTGTTGGGATTAAACAAATGCCAATATTTATAATATTTTCACTATTGTTATTATTAAACTGTGTTTTAAGATCTTTAGCAAAATTTTGCACATTGTGGATTTAAATATAAAATTTGTAGCATTCGGCTTGCCCAAGACGCGCTGCTGGCGCTTGTGACTGATCTTGGGGTCGCTATGAAACAAAATACAAAACACCATTACAATCAATCATTTTTATATCATTTTTAACCATTTCAAGCGGTTTGTAGTAAACTGGTTCGCATGTTCCATGCTAGTTCCTCGTAGCTGTGATTTTAGTAGACTTAATATCTAAAAACAAGCAAAAAACAATAAAATTGCAGGGAAATTTTTTAAGATACGTATTTTTATGTCAGCAATGCACGCAGACAAAACAATTAGGATGTGTGTCAGAATGTTTTTCCTCCTCAGGCCATTTAGATATGTACTTTGCAATAATTTTTTCAAGTAATGGTAAATATTTTGCCAAACGGAATGATCAGCTGACTCAAGCCAGAACAGAATCCAACTGGTTATCCTTTTTCCGACAATGTATGCAACTTTAGCTAAGTTTTAATAATATTACCAAAAATATCACTGCACGTTAAGCATTATAAAATCCATGATTCCTTCCTTATTATCGGTCATTTGTCTGCAGGTCTACGGTAAGTGGTAAAAGCAAAATAGAACTTTGATTATGCAAGAAAAGCATTTGAAGGTGCAGAAGATGTATTTGATTATCAGTAAGACGAATTCTGGTTCTCTTTTTCAAAGCATTTTTGATGTTTGGTGCCAGACAAAGGAAAAAGCTGTACTAGAATGGTGAAATTTTCCCCTTGTGCAGTTCTATCACAGTTTATGCGTCATATATCTGCTAGGCCCCAAACACCTTTTACTAGCCAAATTTGTATAGACATAACCGCTGTGAAAATGTCACTGATATTGCAAGTTTGACAATTTTTGGAATATTTGCATTACTTAGTCAAATGCTTACTAGTGATGAATACACTACTATCAAAAAAGCAAGCCCTGACATTAACTGGCATTGTTCCATTCTCAGCCCCACCAAGCCTGATACCTGCCATCTTAACGACCAATATCTACATTGGACAGGGTCACGGCATGTGCATTAAAATCTGGCAAAATTTAAAATCTTACTTAGGCTTGAGTGGATTTGCAATATGGGCCAAATGTACACAGAGTTATGGGTAGTGTCTTTAATATTATCCTTTTTGAATAATCTACGGTGATAATACTGAATTGTAGTGTGATGCTCTCCAATTTGTTTTTATTTACACAGTCCTAAAATCTTAGATAAAAATTACAAGAAGAGTGCTGCTTAAAGCATATGAGCCTTCAGAGTGCATTTTATTCTTTGATAAATAGCAATTTTCGGTCCATTTAGTCAGATACAGTGCTATCTACTTAACATCTGAGAATGGGATATTAGTTGCCTATGTATTAAGAACTGCTTTAAGGGTTTCAAATTTTATGGGCAGCTTCTCCGAACATTTGTTTACAATTTGCAAGCGCTACTCAAATTGTAGCCTCAAAGTAGTGGTCAGATCAAATGGGTAAAGTTACCTCTCAGATACTGTGGTTCATTTAATACATCCTAATTACGATCAAAATTCTACAAGCATCTACAAAGAGTACTTATTCAGTCCCTCGAAGTAAGCTCTTGTAATTTCTCTGCAATATTCATACTGCTGTGTCTCTCATTCCGCAGAAATAATCCCACTGAATGTCAGCACGGTCATAAAGGCCTATTTGCGGGTCTCTTACTCGTGATGACAACTTTAGTGGCGATGGCTCTCTTCTACACCCACCTCCAACGCAGCAGTCAAGTCGAAGCCCTAACTCTCTTTCAGGGCACTTACATCGTCCTCCTTTCCATCGGTATTCTAGCTGTTAGCATTGCTCTCTTTCAAGTGCGAGTTTTGGGTGCACGACAGATGTCTGAAGACAGTGCTTTCGACGACTACCTTCTGCTGATTGGCCTTCTGGGAATACTCTTCTACAATATGTTCCTTTTGGCTCCAGCTATGGAAGGGATAGAGAGCAATAAGATAGCTAGAACCATGTTTATGTCGAAATCGGTTCTAGAAATACTCCAGGCACTAATGCAGGTAGGTTTCAGAAGGTCTTTCCATGTGTATAAATCCAACTGCTGTGATTCCACTTACATTACTATTCATGGAATATTATGAAGATAAACATGCACTAAAAGCATGCAGTTTTGCGCCGTAAAGTCTTTGCCTAATTTAGTAAATCTAAGGCAGTCAAGAGAACATTTAGGCCGTTTAGTGAGAGTATCTAATGCAAGGTATTTTATGGGCAAAATTGCTAACCAGAAATTTGCAGTATTTTTCAGTAGATTTCTGAGAGGCAAAGGTCAACTAATAGAATGGTTTGTTTTCCATATTCCTAATCAAGCAACTGTCATATATATATATGAATTTTGCGGCATTTCGATGCAGGCATTGAGTAAAGTCAATCACCCACCGTGAAGAGCTGTTCCCATAAGAACCGGTAAGGCTTACAAAATATAATCCCGAAGTGTAAGTCCTCACTTAAAGTAGTTTCTTCACGAGGTCAGCAGTTTTTGGCATGCACGTGGGTGGTGGAGTTTAAAAAAGACCTAGCTTTTAAAAGTTAAAGACAACACCTACTTAACATTTCCATTTAAGTATGTCATTTGTGGCAATTAGAGAAAGGCAAAGTACTAGCATCTCAATGGAGTTTGTCTAATTTGATCCCCTTATTTATCATCATTTACAAGCATTTTTAGATGAATAGTGGTTTCACAGTTGGCTTTTCAATGTGTTTAATCGTGCAAATACCTCGGTGTCCTAACTTTTTGCTACTGGTCTCCTAGCTCTCTCGTAGGCAAGTAGATAGTGCCCTCTTCGGAGTTGGTCTAAACGAATGCGATTTTAGGATGAGTCGCGAAGCTGCGTTTGTTTTCAAGGAATTTTATCTTTAGATCTAAGGCCTTTCTGAATCTATAATCCCTTGTGGTGCTACGGAAAATTTCATTTCTTTGTTAAATTTCATACCCTGCCTTAATTCAGCGAGTGTAACAATACTTTCGTTCTTGTTTAATATCCAAACGTATGCTATGGATTGCTCACTTTCGCTTACCTGTCATTGTTATATCTGGGAGCTAAACATCAGGTTTCATCTGCGACTGACTTCTGGTCAAGAAATTCTACCTTAGTCTTTAGAGCGGTGCTATAAAGTAACTAAAGTATTCTGCTGAAGTTGGCATTGGATTTGATAAATCGTTCGGATTAATTCAAAAACAAATCAGACTTATGAAAATACAAACAACGGACTCCCCTTTTCTAAAAGAGCATTTAATTTTAATTTTAAAGTTGGCTTCATGAATGCAGTTCTAAAAATAATTTTCATTTCATTGTTCAAAATTATATCGCTTCTCGCCTTCCGTTTGCAATTTACTTACTTGTTTGCGAATGCAGCGGGTTGGTAATTATTTCAATTGTTTGCGTTACCTTCATTTGCCTTGACTTATACAAAAGCACCCAAATTCAGTTTAGCCGCTAGACTTTTTTTCCAGCAGTGGAAATTGTAAAAAAAACATTGGAATAAAATGCTGTCAGTATAGAGTCTGTGATTTAATTCATGGTTCTTTACTTTACTTATAAAGGTTTTCTTAATCCTGGAAGCTTCTTGCAGCCAGGCAAGCAGCACGAGACAAGTGATTGAGAAACCTGGGCGCACAGTCATCACGTTTCTACTCATTCTCAATTTGGCCATGTGGATGGTCACCACCTTTGGATTGAAACACGCCGAGGGCTACTCCATTCATCGGTCTCACTACTCGGACATCGCCTGGAAAATAATCACACACCTCTCCATGCCCCTCATTGTCTTTTTTCGCTTTCATTCCACTGTCTGCCTTGCAGATGTCTGGAGCAACGCCTATCGTATTCATAAGCCAACTATTGTCTGAGACCCGCCATCCACATTTAATATCTCTAAAACCCAAGCAAAATTGAACGAGTGATGCTTTTTTAAACTCATTCTTCTTCGTTCATGACTCAACGTTAGAATAGTCATGGTAGCTGTAAGCTTATTTCTAAAAGAAGCTAATGTGCACAGGATGAATAAGGTAAAAATTAGTAATCAAGATAAGCTAGCTATGGATTTCTCTCCATAACCTAACATGGGCACTTAGCATCATATAATTTTAGTTCAGGTAACCTAAACTTTAGCTTTAGTAATTGCCCAACTTCCTTAATAAAACCTGTCATCTTAATGCTGTTTACACTGCCACACTGCTCTGTCTGCGATGAACACAATTAGTCAACTTAGGCGCTTTGATGAATAACTACTACACATTACGTCCTTCAGTCGTGAGAAGTCAAATTGCCTACATCAGCGAAATAGACTTTATCGTGGACGTACATGATTAGAAAACTGCGTGTTTAGTTCCTCGATTTTGATAAATCTTACTAGGCACGTTCACCTTACGCAAATCAAAAAAAATTTTATTTAGAATAGCTTCAAGCACAAAATCAGCTTCCAAGATGCCTTTTAGCTCGACCACTCATGGTAGAAAAACTCTAAGCTCCTAATTTACCTAAACTCATGAAATCGTCGTAAAAATGCTAAAGTTCACATAATTTATAAATTTCAATAGAAATATGTGATCACCAAAGGTTTTACGTCAGTAAAAACGTAAAAAAATACTGGTTTTAAAAATTAGTGCAAAATTTAACAGTTTTGCATAGTAAGAAACGAGTTCTGTGTGGCCTTTTTCAAACTAAAAGCAAATACATGCATAATTGTTCCTGATCTTTTTTTGGGGATCTGTAAGTCAAGAGTTTCAAACTAGATAGCAAGACCGCACAAAGCCCTTCTCGTCTATTCCCTTGCGATGGTTATATAGAAAGCAAAATTCTACACGACTGTACAGAAAATCTTACCTGAGTGATTTTGGGCACCCAGTTTTCGATGCCTGTGCTAGATTTTTGGAATGTGTAATGCCAAATCAATCTAATTTTCTTATGAGGCAAACGGAAAGCCTTATTCTCAAATAGCTAATGATTCGTTTATTTGAACACCTTGTAATTGATAGAAGTTTTTATGGTCTTACTCAGATCTTTAAAGATCAACTTTTATGATTAAAATACTTGTGCGTATTCCTGTACTTTGGATACAACAAAATCTATAAAAGAGTGATTTTGTGAGTAACATTGCATGTCACATATGGTTTATAGCTTAAGTAATATCTTTTGTTTCCTTTTAAATTGCTTCTTTTAGACGGTAACAAACCACCACCGCACAGTGGTGGATTTTGTGTCCATTCTCTGCAGGACGGTTGCTGCCGTCATTGACAAATTTACTGTCCTTGGAGCGTTTGAGCAATTTGCGTGCTTACTGACTGAATGTTCTATTTCTTCGCAATATGCACTTGAAAAATCTTTTACGACCAGAGATCTATATAGTTAATCCTCTCATTTACTACTGCGAGGTATTCCGTGCATATTTAACAGTGGTGCGAAAATGACGTGAGATACGTGCTTCAGGAATTAGTCTACATAATAGGACAAACACTTTGCTTGCTAATGGATACACTGTAAAATTTCATTTCGACATAAAATTAAATATGAACGTTTGGCTTGGAAGCCCTTCATATTTAGCAAACCTTTGTTCTCTCACCACTTACAGAAATGTATATCAGTGCATACACTAACTTCTCGCTTCCTTGTTAATCGGGGTCAGATGAATGCCGACTCCATATGACGAATTATATTACATATCCACTCTACAATACGACTCAAATATGCAGTTTATGCTGCAAAGAGGTCGTGCTTTGTGGCTATTAGCAGTTTATAAATTTCTAAAAACATTCTGTAAGCACTTCTTTTTTGATATTAGAATGAGTTGTCTACTTTGTTGAGCTGAATGTCGAAGCTTTTAATAAACCGACTTACTTGGAAAATATATGGGCTATAAGGTTAGCTGCGTAAGGCCATGCAATGGATTCGGTGTTTACCTGTTCATCCCTGGCCTCTAAAGTCCTCGGAAAGAGTACAGTGATTAGGTAAGGCATTTTTTTTTGGAGGAGGGTTGCACTCGCTTAAAAAACAATTTTACTTCTAACCTTTCGTAAAGAG